TTCTCTTCTGTTTTTTTCACTTTCTTTTTTTTGGTTGCCGCCCTTTCTTGTCCTTGGCAAGTGGCCACACGCGCTCCAGCACCTGGTGCACTGGCATGAAGGGCTGAGGACTCGGCACCTCCGGATGCATGGCGGTGTCAGAGACTGCACCTCGACTTTGGCGAGGTTCAACTTTCTCAGCTGCCGCAGGAAGTATACATCCTCTTGCTGGGCTTTCTTCTTATGAGAGGGACCCTGCATTGTTCAGCCTTCCACTTGAGGACCTCGGGTGCTATGGTACCCACAGAAAGCGGAAGGAACTCCACGAGATTCCACATGGGGAGTCACACAGGATGATGGCGCGCGCCCGGGTGTCGCGCTGGATTCGTCCCTGAAGTGCCCAACAACCATCCCTCCACTGTTCATTTAGAGTGTCTTAGCTCGCAGGTTGTCTCTGGCTGCACATCGGTCACCAGATGGGCGTTCAATCTCCCCGATCTGGTAGGCAGGCTCATCTCTCGGTGGCAGACATGAGTGTCGGCAGAGGAGGTGTCATCCGCCAAACTTCAGGAGCCTGACGGACATGGTGACCTGGAGCGTGCACTGCTTAAGTATGCCCAGGGACGAACAGCAGAGGAGAAAGAACGCCACGCCCTGAGGGGATCTGGTGCAGGATGTTGGGAGTCAGAGAAATTTTCCCCCAGCTTCAACGCTGCTGCGTTTCCTGTCAGACAAGGAAGTTGTGATCCACTTCCAGGAGTCAGGCATCAGTGAGCTGGGAGAGCGCTTGTCCTGCTAAGCAGAGCTGGGAATGATGGTGTTAAACCCACCCAGAGCGTGAAAGTCCACAAACCACGGATCCTGGCATTAAACAGACTTCTATCGACCATTCAGAGTGACTGGGGCAACAGTCCTGGTCATCGATTTATCCCTGTGGTTCCTTGCGCTCTTCCCTGGCGGAACACGACGACCTGATGGTGGAATGCTTTGCAAGCAGCGCCTGGCCACTGACATATCTCCCAACACGAGGTGTTGAAGATGTCAGTGAACACGGAGCACAGCATGGTCCAGCACACGTGCTTCAGGAGGTGGATACGAGAGACCGAATCTGGCTCCGGCTCGCATTGCGGGGTTCTTGCCTCTTGAAAAGAGCTCCTCGCGCTCTTGACGCTCCCTGCTCTTTAAGGCGAGAGAGTCACTCCACTGTGGTGGATGAGGGGGATTTTTCACAGAGCGTGATTTTTTTGGTCAACTGTTGTCACAGTGGGCTCTGCCTTGGTGCTGGCGGTGGGGGGGCGCGCGCGGGAACTGCGGTGAGGAGGGGCTCGTGAGGGCTGGTCACGGGGACTGGTGTCAGGATGCGCGTTTCTCGTCTGTCGCTGTGTGGTTTTTGTGTGATTTGAATAATTGTATATTTGTATATGTATATGTGTATATTTTATGCACCAACTGCACCAGGTCACATTCCTCGTACGTACTTGGCAATAAACAAAATTCTTATTCTGATTCTGAATGAGCCAATGAATCCATCAATGGTCCATCTATGTTCCCACAACTCCAAAATGCCCCCAAAAAATCATTTCAGCATCCTCAGCGTATTTCATTGAAAAGGTTACATGTTTGTGGCTAATGCTTTATTCAAAAGATATAAGTGTAAATGGTTACCACAAGTGTCACTCTGCTTTGTTAATGTTCTCTCTGTTATTATTACAGTTTTAAACGGCCCTTGAAGGCACCATGTGACAGCTGATTTGTCTGGTTGGCACATAGCTGACCTCTGCCCTGTCTGAGTCACAACCTACAAACCAGTCAAAATAATGAAATAAAGCAGAGATGTAAAATTAATAACCTCATAATGCAAAAACACACATAGATATAGAAAGATTTTGTTCTTCTTTCTTGGATTTTATTTTGTTCTGTTATTTTGTAAATTCATATGGTAACTTGTCATAACTGTGAATGACATTTTCAATAATGCTGGTATAAACAGAAGCAGGTGATTGTGCTGTGGAAATAAAAACATAAAAAAATAGCTTTATTTAGTACCTAATTTAAGACTGATTTTCATGTTATGTAAAATACTTCTAGTGTGCATTTATTGACCAAAAAAAGACCATAAAATCAAAAAAAGTAAAATAAAAAAGATAATTTTCTTGTTGATTTACTTAAATAAAGTGGGCACAGTGGTCCTTAACTACACTGTAAAACAGTCATTTGTAATTAAAAAAAAACACTGAACATGTAATCTACTGTCGATGATACTGGATCATTTCCACTAGGGGGCAGTATAGTCCTCAGGTGATTCACCTTTCTTCCAGGGTTTTCTTTCAGTTCTCAGGTGGTGTTACCTACTGATTCACTGTTGTTCACTGTCTGTTTTTAAACTTAATGTGACCCTATGTTAGCAGGGAATGCAACACCAAAAGTTCAAATACACATATTAACTCACATTATGCATTGTGATGTTTCAGCTTTTGCTCTCAGTCAGAGTGATACATAACACATTTTAATTAATCTGACTTCATAAAATACTTTTGATATAACTGTCGTTCAAACCTTTAGTATAACACTAAACAAATATCCCAATAAAAAATATGTGTTAACATTACAGTATACCACAAAAATCTTATAGCAATACTTAGTCATTAGAAAGCCATCACAAACAGTATTAATGGATATAAAATGATCCATGTGTCATCTACAGCTATTTCCATTTGATGTGATGATGCTGACATAACATGGAGTCTTGGGTTTGAATGTTTCCCTCAAGTTAATACAGAGTATACAGTATAAGATACTGTCAGATAAAGTGGAAGATGATTTTAAACAAGCTTAAAGCAACTTGGATGTTAAGAGGTCAATAATACTATAAAGCATTGTAAGATTAAAGATCACAGACATGTACATAAAGAGCTACGATACACTGTACATAACTTAACATGCATAATATGTAAAACGATCAACAAAACACTGTTTCAAGTTCAACAAGAAATAAGAAACAGAAACAGTCTAAGAAACAGTCTGCTGCACTAAAAACAAATGAATCTGAAAGTTAAAAAGGGGAAACACTATTGCAGTTACCTACACTGAGGTAATGCTTCCATGCTTTTGAATATCTGTGTCCTGTTGAGACTGTGTGAGGTGCAGCAGAGTACTGAGAGTACTCAAAATCAGCAATATAAAAAACTATGATATCTCAGTAGTAGAGTAGCTCTAGAGTGGCAAGCTCTGGCCACTCACCTAACTTTATTAGTCATTGCATAGACACACACACTCATACACTGCCTGACACACATAACATCACGTGCAGACCAGAGCTGTGTGCCAAGATGTAAGCTACATGGATACTAGTTACTCTTTGTTGACTAAAAATGCAAGTAACTGATGAGAAAAAGGGGGTAAAACTAAACAACGACGGAGTGTGTGTGTGTGTGTGT